AAAAAAAAAAAGAAAAACACTGCCCGTCTAAAATTCGAAATAATACAGCCACGAACTGTGAGAAAAGCGAAAATCAAAAGCACGGGAATGTAATGTCTGTATTAAAATTTGCGACAGACTGGGGTGTTGTTAATCCATACGTCATTCAATTGAAATCAAAATCTAACAAAAGAAGGAAAAAGAGAAACGAAATTAAATGCGAAACAAGCGTCGATCGTTGTTCGAGTGTCATCGTAGTACCGAACTGGACAGGGGGAGAGAAATCGCGGAGCCAAATTGCATGTTGCGACGTATAAAACTATTTTTCTGGAACGCACTCTAGCTATCCTACCCTCGAGCAACTTCGTTCCATCATTTATTTGCCGGAACAGACTGCCATAAACCGACGATTATCGAGAAACGAAAGAATAAGAAACCGTTCGTCAATTGTTCGCGAACCTTGGTACTTTGTACTTCAGTTTCTTTCTCGACTTTCACGATTTTATCCCCCCCTCTCCCCTCCCTTCTCCACCCGTCGATCCGCGAAGAAATTAACGAACGAAAGAACGAAACGAGAAACAAGAGCAGAGTTTTATACGTGGCAGCGAGACGAGATCGATCTACCCTATCATATCGCCAGATTTTTCTTATTACGACTAATTGTTATCTATCAGCGGTTTAAATAACGATAGATAAATCACGTATATCGGGTTATTAAGCCGTTAAACGTAACGATGGTAAGACACACACGATGAACACGGTGGTGCATTTAACGGAGCATCAAAACGACCCGGAAGAGAAATACTCGAGAGTGATCTTGATCGAAGGCCGCACGTTCTCGCCATTTCACCCCACGAAGCGTGATCCATTTGATCCAATGTACAATTTATGCGCGAGAGGCGCGTACGCGCGTACTACGAGAAGAGAAGAAAGTTGCGAACGATTCGAGAGGAAAATGATCCGCGATGTTACAACGCGTTGAAGACGGATGAGGAATTACAGTTTCGCTGCATCTTCGAACGCAGCGAAAACAC